TCTTTCCCTTCAAAATTAAATTGAGGTGAAAGATATGAATGGGCTATCAGTTGCTTAATTCTAAGCCTAGTAGTGTATTAATATATTTTTTCATCCATGGTAGGACAAATATGTCTTTTGATGTGCTTCTGCCATTTCTTCTGACTGTTCCAGTGTTGTGATATGTGGCCTTTGCATAGATATTTTTTAAAAACTATTTTCAAGTGAATGATCTACTACTGTTAGCATAATTTAGTCCTGCAAATCTACAGTAGATCTAAAATACCTTATCCTGAATAAAGCCTGGATTTAATGTTGAGGACAGGAGTAAAATTCTGAACTACCTCGATGAATCGATCTGAAATAATAGTCCTTGCTACCAGAATAATAAGCATGAAAGGCCCTTTCTGTGTAAATATCAAAACCTGCAGAAATGCAAGGTAGAGAATGACAGATTCTGTTGTTCTACAGAAGATTTGAAGATCTTAGCTGGACATGATGAAATACTTCCAGATCCTTGCAAACCAGAAAAGTCCAGCCTGGAGGGTGTAGCCTGGAGGCTCAGCACACAGGGTACTTGAAATGGTACTTTCACTTCAGCTGAGTGACAGTCCTGAGCGCTCAACCTGCTATGGAGCAATTGAAGAAAACCTCAGGAGAGCAGGGAGGAGTATTTAGAGGGTTAAAAAAACTTGTGTGGATTTACATAGAAGAGAAGCCTCAGGGCAGGCCAGATAAGAGCCTGTGAATATGTAAAGTGATGTTTCAGAAAGAGAAAGTCTTTATGTCCACTGGCAATTTAATAAGTAATGGTGGATAATTGCAACTTGGGAGATTTAGCTTGTTAGGGAAAACCACTGAAGGTAAGGATAGCCAAATTCCAGAATAATTGCCTACAGGAGTTGTCAAGTCTTAAGTCTTTGGAGGCTTCTAAGAACAAGCTAGATAAACATCTGTCAGGAATGCTTTTGTTCAGCTGATCCTGCCCTGGGGCAGAGCATGCACGGGGTAACCTCCCACGGACCCCCTCAGCCCTGCTCTGTGATTCATCATCCTGCCACCGGGATCCAAGGGAGTCATGCCGCTCGCCTCTTTGTTTTAATTCCCTAAACTGCTAGGAAAATCTTTTCTTTCCCTTATTTTTCTTGCATAGGTGATTGGGGACTACTATGGAAAGCAGGGGCGTTTTGAAATTCGATCAAATGTGAAATATCCTTGGAATCATGGCAGGCTGCGACTAGATGAAGGCCGAGTTTCAGAGCACACAAACAATACACCATGTAAATCATGTAAGTTTAGTGACTTAATTCTTCTGCCCAGGCTGTCAGAAGCGGGAATCCATGTGGTGGTGCAACATAACAGGCCGTACTAAATTGCTTAGCACAGTTGTCCAACTGAGACATCGTGACTATGTCTCTCAGCGGAGTGGGAAGTTAAGGGCTGGCAGCTGTGGGTAGTACGTGGTCTGAATCACTTCCCTGAACTTAAACATGACAGTAATAATGATGCACAGCCCAGGGCCCTGGAGGCTTTAGGACTTTCCAGGGGCTAAAAGGTAAAATCTCTTTCAGCCAGAAAGAAGGATGTAACTGAAACCTCAAACAGAGAATAACCCTATTGATAATTAGCAGATGGGGGAGGTCAGTGCTGATGGGAGCAGTGTTCTCCCAGGGCAGAACGATTTTTTCAGTGCCGTAAGAAGTCACTACAAGGGGCCCCATAGGCAGAGAAGTGAAGTCTGTTCAGTGTGAATCAAGAAAGCTGGGACTCTGCAGAGAAGGTGTCCTTGCTTTCCAGCAGACAGACTTTCCAGGCCATGTTGTAGTGAGCAGGACATTGCAAGAAGATGAGGGGGGGAAGATGCTTGAGCCTCAGTGGCACAAGTGGACTTAGCTTTTTACAGTAAACTCATTGCTAGTCCTGCAGTGAAAAAATGTCTGGGGCCTGATAATTCTTCAATCCCTGAAAAATCTGTGTGGACACATATGCTGTAGAAATATTTCCAGGCCATACTCTTTGTGCTCAGCATGGTGTAGCTATGTATCTTATTCCTTCCACACATGCTGGTGTACAAACAAACTCCCTGCAAAGGGTCAAGGATAAATTAAGAGGAGGGAGCAGTTTAATTTCTTCAATATTTCTCTGTTTCTTTCCACAAACCCAGGCAGGCATGGGAAAGGGAGCAGGCTGCATCCACATGAAAATGCCATTGTTCTTCAGCTGCTCTGCACTTTGCAAAGTCCCTACTTGGATTCCCCTTCAGCCACTGTGTCCCTGCTTTGCTTCTGCTGACATTGGGAGCCAGGCAAAGCTCATATGGCCTGAAAAGGCATAGGTTCAGAAAAAAATAAATAAATTGAGGAGGTGTTGGATAATCATACAGTCATTTTAATAAAGCTGGGCAATAAAGGTTTATGATGCTAACCCACATGAAATTAGTTTCTGTTATAATGACTCAGGATGTTTCCAGCACTGGTTCCTATTATGTGTGTCATTGTAATCCCAGTCTGTGATACAATTCAAGTCAGGCTGTCTGGACCAGTTACCTACCAACATTCCTGTGTATTGAGTATCTAGAATTGTGCCTTCGTCTGACACTGATCTTGGGGGCTTTTTTAACCCCAGGGAGAGCAAGGACATAAAATAAACATGCAGAAGCTAAGCAATAGGTTCCCATGAAGTTCTGCACTCTAAAAGTCTTTAGTTATTATCTGAGGCTGGTCACTTATTTCCTAGTTGTGTGTATTTTCCAATATATAAATGCAAAGAGTTCTCGGTATGAACCCTCATTGTTTATTTTTCCCCTTTTCAAGCAGGTGGTCTAGGAGAATCAGCAGTTACCGGAATAGTTGTGGGTGCCTTGCTTGGAGCAGGATTGCTGATGGCTTTTTACTTTTTCAGGTTAGTCCAATTCATTGAAAGTTCTGTAAACTCTTTACTCACCATCCAAATCTCTCAGCTCCCCACAGCACATCGTTGATGGGAGTCAGAGAGGCACCTTAATAATCTGTGCTAACATGCCCACCAAAGACAGTGAACACACTTTGATCATCCTTTTCTGTGTATTCAAACCATTTTATTGACTCAGAGCCTCATCCTGTAACCACTTACATTTCCAAGTAACTTTACTTATGAAAGTAGCTCAAGTCTCAGTTGCTTTAATAAAGCCCTGGCCTTGAAAGCCTTCTTTGTTTGGTGCTTCTTGCCAGCACAATGGTGAAGGCTGTGAATCATGCAAGAGATTTATATCACTTGTCTGGTACCATGCTTAGTTTTAGAGTATTGAATGGACTTGTACTGGAAGCTAGAAAGAGATTTCTCTTTTATTGTAAGAGAGCGTTTGGATTTCAAAGCTGTGCATTTAACTTAATAAGATGAGGTCACTGCAAGAGGATCAGTGTTTTATCCTTATTTCAGTAAAATAATTTGTACATTGCTGGTCAGCAAATCTGAAGTCTGGAGAGTTGATTCTACACTGACAATACACTAGTTATACATGTTCAGCATGTTATATACACTATAATTGATCCTTTTATGCTATGGAAAAGAAAGGGCAGATGAGAAAATAAAGTTAACCTCTTGATATAAGAATAGATTAATTCTATGCAATAAAAATATCTGTTTATTAAAAAAGGTTAACAAAATGAAGCAAGTGAAAACTGCTTCAACTCACCAGCCCAATTCTAGGATTTCAAAAGGTTGCAGAACCAGGATTGTTTATCAGGTGCTTACAGCTGAAATTCTGAGGGGTGATTTCATTCTTGCATGTGTTTGGAGCTTATATAGTATATTGTTTGGGTTTGAGACAAAACTGGACCTGATGAAAGACTGTCTTTAAAAAAAAATATATATATATATACACAAGTCATCAGAGGTTCTTGCATCTGCCTACATTCTCAGTTTGAGATGGTAATTTTTAGGTCTGTTTTTAGCATTGCCAATATTAGGGAGGGGTCTTGGTACGTGAGGACAAGAAATGAGGCAAAAGATATATCCTGAGCTCATATAAAACTATGCAAAGCATTATTGTAGGAACGGGACTTAAATTTATAGTCATCTGGCACAAAGATTTGGATTGGAAATCCATGTAAGCAAAGGTGAGCATGTGTAAAAGTAAATATATACAACTGTGCTCAACAGTTTGTATTCACAGTCAGAAGGGAAAACTGAGCACTTTTTTCAGTGCAGTTCATATCATACTCAGGTAAAAGCTGAACCAGCAGAACATTGCCTCTTAAAAATGCCTGTTTCTCTCTATTGAAGAAAGCTGCAAGTATTCTGTCGGATGGATCTGTACATAGATGACATCTAAAGACATATGCGTGGCTTTCAGCCTGGAGATCTGATTATACTCACTCAGAACAGGAGTAGGGACAACCCTCTAATTCCACCATTAGAGTAAATATATGAAACATAACATCAGGATGTACAGGTCAGATTTTCAGAAAATGTAGGCCCAGCAATTGTATGCCAGGAAGTAATTAGTACCTGCAGCTTCTGTACCTTTCAAACTGTATGTACTTTCTAATTACATCTCATTTGGATCTGTAATTATCACAAATGAGCATGCAACACACACTCTTGAATGCGCATGCAAACCCTTGAATGATCTAGGTTGCAGTTCTGAAATGTAGCTTTCAAAGGATTTAAACTTAAAGAGCTACATTTCTAAAATGTGGACCTGTCCTTATGCATGAGCTATCATTGCATGCTTTGACCGTGGAAGGATCTGACTTGAAAATGCACTAATGAAGTAAAGCACATACTTTTTTTTTTTCACAAGTTATTTTGGAGCATCCTGATACAAACACAAATACATAGAGAATCTTTTCAGAACTTGTAGGTTCCCACTTTCTGTTGAGCCATGTTACCCAAATTAAGACCTTGGTATTTCGGAAATCATTCTTCCACTGTTAGACATCTAGCTCCAACTCCTGCTAGATGTACAAGTGGAGCAGAGCTTTTCTTGGCATACAGGTTTTTTTTTGTCATGTGTCTGCACAAGCAGTACTGCATGCACATGGGGCTGGAATAATGCCCTTCTGAAAAACTGGTCCCAAAACCAAGTAGATGCATAAATGCAAAAAATATAAACGTGAATTTTCTTATGATTCTTGGTGGGAGATTTTGCAACTGAAGGGCAGTCAGAGGGCTTGTTTGATGTGTAAAGCAACAACAGAATTCTTCAAAAGGCCCTAGAGGAAGACACACAGGAAAAACTGTGTCTGATACATGAGCAATTGTATTTATGTCTTATCAGTCCTCTACATCTCTTTTCTTAATTCATCATACGACCTCCTCTGACATAATAAACATAGTAGGTTTTTCAGAGAGAGATGGGAGGATTAGTTAATATATAGTTTAAATGAGAAATGCAACTGAATAAATGCATGTAATAATCTGAGTCAGATCAGTTGTTTGAACTCTGCAGAAAGTGCTTCCTCCCAGTGTACCGGAAAGAAATGTAGCTTTGATCAATACAAAGCAGTGATGTGACACAGTTCATATGACATTTCACAAAAACTTCCTAATCACTTAGATCAGAAATTTTCAAAGAAGCAAACATCTGTGTTGTGGTGCTTTGAGACTGCCTTGTAGAAATTAACGGGCATTTTTGAGCCTGGGTAGAATGTTTCAAGGCAAACTACTTTAATCTTTGACCAGGGTTTCACATTCTGCCACGTTTCATTTTTCAGCTGGCACCCAGTTGTCCCCTATTGGCATTCTTTATAAGGGAAGTCCTGTTATTCTATAGCTGGAGAAGGTTTTCTCACTCTGTTCCTCTCCTTTCATGCAGAAAGAAATACAGAATAACTATTGAGAGGCGAACTCGACAGGAGGACTGTAACATGGGGAAGCATCGGCAGTTACGTGAAGACTCCATTAGATCTCATTTTTCTGCTGCATAAAGAAGAAGAAAAAGAATCCCATTCTTCCTAGGGACAAAAAAAAATTAGGGAAAGGACACAACCAAAGATGTCAGTAAAAAAAAAAAAAAGAGGCTCTTGAAGAACTCACTATTTTAAGCAGTAATTTTATCTTAATTTCTTTCAGAAGCTCAGGAATGATTTACTAATCGTATTATGCCACATGGCCTTTCATCTCATAAAAAAAGAAAATGATGCAGTTTGGTGTTACAGGATATACTTAATATGTAAAGACAGTACTTCTTAAGACATATTAAGGGCAGCAGATCTGGGTTTAGCTGATGGGGAATGCCTCATTCTGTTCCCTTTTTTTTTGTTGCTCCTAACAACTCTTTCCTTAATTGCATCTCACCCATGGATATCAAATATGGTTTCACAGGCTCAGGTGCTGGTTCCTGTCAGAAGAAAAAAAGGGATTACTTTGGGGTATGATCCTACATCACTGGGTCATTGCCATTGATTACAGGGGATAGAAGATGGGGATATGGAGTTTGGTTCTGGGAGGGAGCTGGCACTTGGGTGTAGTTAACTCCACTGGAGCGTAATTAACTCCACTGAGACAGTCAGGCAAGTGGAAACACACACAAACCATTCTTTCCTTGTTTATGTAGTATCACAGACTGATACTACACGAAATCAAAAGCACTGATTCTCTGTCTTAGCTGTGAGGAGTTACAAAAAAACTCCAGTGAAGGATGAGGAGTTTCATTGGTGTAAAGTGGTGAGAGAAAAGACCATCAGGCCACTGGAAAGCACTGGCTGGTTCCTCAGTCTTGTATGTGTTCTATCATGTTCTTTTCTCTTGACTGCCATGACTTTTCAGAGAGGCAGATATAGTCCATGTAGAGCCTACTCCTGTTCCCAGTGAAGTCAGTGGCAAAATCCCATTAACTTCAGTGAGCACAGGACTGCATCCAAAATTGTAAATATGAAAGTGTTTGTATAGCTGAGGCAATTCAAAAGGGGATCTTTTTTTTTGTGTAAAAAAAAAATGACATTCCATGCTACCATTTTATTTTTAGGATATTTTTAATCTTGTATTTTTCTATTAAAGTATCTATTTTTGCTTTGGTAGGATTAAAAAGTTAAGGGTGAGGATGTTTAAAAGACCTATTTTTTATGATGGGAGTAACATGCAGGGCAAGCCAACAGCTGTAAATACATTTTAGCATCAGTATTTAGGGGAGGAGAATTGACCCTTATGGATAATAACAGTTTTCCCCCCATTTTCTTCTCCAGGCACATGCAGCATTCAAATAGTTATTTAGACAATATAAATACAGTTATTAGCAGTGTGATGATGGCCCTTATCCTGAATATAATGAACTTCTCACACGTTAAATAGTCCTACATCAGTCGGGGATACTGACTGTCCAAATCTCTACAATTAAAGATACAAGGAACTACCTTTGGGAACAGAGGTGGTAAAACACCTGTTAGGGCAGACGTCAATCCTGCTGCCATCAGTATCCGTGAGACTTTTGCTATTGAGTTTACCTGGAGTAAAACTGAATCTATGATGAATTAGCTATTGACAGGTTATTTTATATGAGACAAAGGAAATGAACAGTACATATTATAAAAGTGGTAAAGAAGACCTATAAAAATACTATTTGTGGAAAGACCCAGCTATGACTATGGTTGTAGTGTGTGGAATATTTTGGTTTATCCTATTCTGATTTCATAAGCAGAACTTTCCGGTCTCAACATTCCCAGTCAGACTTGGAAGTTAATTTCAAAACTGGCACTGAAGCCTGTGTTCTCCAAAACGTTTAGGCCCTGAAAAGCCAGAGTGCCAATTCAGAGAAACTGTTTTGGGGTAGCTGGAAGTGAATGAAGAGGGAAAGGTAGTTCTCTCTTCTTTCTACTGCTTTTTATTTGTTGATGGGGAAGTACCCCATGGAGTATTTTTTTCCAAGTCCCCCTTGGACTTTTATTTTTTTCTTACGTTTCACTTGTCTCTTAGCATGTATAAGGGTTTGTCACCTGCCCTTGTGAAATATTGTCCAGTGTCCCAGGCAGCCAGAGATCAGGGCTTCCTGACTGTCAGGGCAGCTCCAGAATAGGTGGTGGATGTAGACCAGGTAGATAGGGTATCTTTAGGACTCACTGTTAGAGCTGCTCTTCACACAGGAGATTTCTATCATCCTGTTTGCCAGTCTAGGCTTTGTATGACTTCTGCAAAGGTGCCTTAGCCAATGTTACACTGAGGTCAGTGGGCAGCTTCCTGAGGTAGCCTCCTTATCTCATGGGCACCAGAGAAGAATCTAGGCTAGAGCAGTATTCATACTGCTGTAGAGCTGGGGAGGAAAAAATCTTCCATATTAGTTTTTGGAATTTTTTCAAGAAGTGGAGTTTTGTCTGGCCCCTGAGCATATTTGAGGTTTGTATTTTTAAAAATAATTTCCGAGGGAGATTTGATCTATTTCTTGTTTTGCAAATATAGCTTTCATTATTTTTATTTTCTTTTATCCATTTTACTACTTTTCCACAGAAGAAGGGAAGGAAAAATTTTTAATAGAAGGGTGGGATGATATGAAGAATAAACTTTTTTTTCAAAATTGTTTGTTAAGACTTGCCTTGCAGTGTCAGCTAGTGGTCAAACAGTCATTGGGGAGCAAGACAGTAGTGTGGATCTGCATTTTCCCTGTGCCATGCACAATCAAGTCATACCAGAAGATTTGAGCCAAGAGATCTGGCTGAAACAATAAATTCTTAAGACAGCCTTTTTATTGCATCATCTTACTATAACTAAACATATATTTTTATTTATATATCTATAGTGAAAAGTCGCTTTTTAATTAAAAGCATAGTAATTCCAATGCAAGGTTTTATGCAGTGTTTTTAATCATGACCTCAGGAAGTTTTTTTGCAAGATGTCTCCTGGTGGGATACTGATAGAGGCCTAGCCACAACTTTACATCCCAGCACCTCCCAAGAAAAGTGAACTGTTCATATGCATTAGAAAATTGTAGGTCAGTGAGTTTTAATCTTTATAAATTTGTGCACACGTACCTGTGCATTTTTCCCATGGAAGTGTGGAGATCATGTAATGTTATTCCACATAAGTCGATTCTTGTATAGGATAAATAAACTAATTCTTCTTAACTGCCCTTTCACAGGCCTCTTGCTAATAGTTCCCAGGTCTTCTATGGACCATAGATCAAAAACTGTCTTGAGTTTAGATTATTCAGCGAAGAGATTCTTTACCAGCTAATGCACTTTTCCTCTCTGGTTCATCTGCATTAGCTCAATGCCACAATGTTTAGGCTTCAAACTCTGTAAGAGAATGTGCAATCAAAATAATAATAATTGATTCTCAAAAGAGTTTTCAAAACCTACATTTTTGGCTTCAACAAATTGCCCGTATTACAAACATACATCTATATAACAGAGCAGCACAAGGAGGGCCTTGATTCAGCTCAGCACTTTAGAGCACACTTAAAATATGCTCAACTTAGCTTATAAGTGCTTTGCTCACTTGGGACCAAGGGGTATGATCCTGGCCACGGCTGAGCCAGAGGGGATCTTGCCATGTGCTTGAATCAGAGAAATATGGCCTATAGGCTGTATGTTTATTGCTAAATCTTTCAGTTGTGCCTGTTAAATTTAAGTTGGCTTCATACTTTTTGTTTGTCAAAGCTTGACAAGTTCTGCTAATTTAACTTTTTTCTTAATTACAAAATACTGGTCAGCTTAATAGCTGATTGACCTCAGAATCTTCTTGATGATTCTGTGAACAAATTACCTGACTTGTACACTCTTAACTTCAACACATAGACTTACACTGCAAGCTGACAAAGGTGAAATTTAAAGTACGTGTAGTTTAGTAAGACCTACAGCTTCAGGATGCCTAGATGCTTTGTTCTGCGCTGTTGGTAGTTCTGGAAGTTTTGTTTATGGACAGCTTGTGTGTCCCTAGTTGTCTTTCACTGCCACCATCACAAGTTAATTACCAGTTCCTCTGATGCACAACAACCAAACCCAACCAAGTTCTAAGAATGTTCAGTTGTTGCTAAAAATTTTTACTGAGAGTGCTGTGTGCCTTCCAAGATTGTGGCCAAAATTTAGTTTATTCATGAGTTACATTCATTCACTTCTGAAAATAAATTTTATTTATCCATTTTCCATTTGTTTTTAAGAAATGCTTTATTGGAAGTATTTTGTTGGTTTTTAATGAAGAATTATAAAGGTGTAGCTAATGCTTTGAAAACATCTGTGCTGGACAAAATAAAGAGTGTTCTCCCTGACAGCATGTTTTACTAGGAGGTTGGTCTCTGATTCATTCTTTGGCTTGGAGATGTGATCACACTCTTCTTAAGCTAACAAAAAAAACCCTCTCATTGATTCAGTGGAAGTGAACTCAGGCCTTCAGTGGAGTGTCTTCAGGCTTTAAACTGAGCATCTTGAAGCAGTTCAGAGTGAATTTCCCAGCTTTGCAGGCTAACAGGCTGTGCATCAGCCTTAGCTGACCTTGGCTCCAGCACGATTTTCACCTCATGAATGCCATAATGCTCCTGGAAAGCCAAGAATAGACATCAAAGACAGGAAGCTAATAGTCCTGGTCATAAATTTCTTTGGCAATTCAGTCCACCTTTTCCGGAGCTCAAGACAGTTCCACATCCTTCACTACCTTCCTCTGTGCTTTAGAGTAGCCATGTAGCTGTTCTGTTTCTTTACATAAAGCAGTTGATAGTGTTTTCCCTTGTTTTCTCTTAAGGTAGAGTGAACACTTGAGTTCCCCATTTTTTTTTTCACGCCCTTTTCTCTAGCTTTGGAAGTACTTTGAGACGAGACAACCATTTTCCATTTATTAGTGACAAATGCTCTCTCTGCACTGAGGTAGCTTTTACATAATTTTGGCTGTTGTTAGTTGCCACCGTGCTGCTCAACTACCAGCACAGCTTATGTTGACCCATGGCCATATTAGCTGTTATCAGAGATCTAGACTGAGAATTGTCTGTTGTTACCCATCTTTTAAC